ATATACACATATATAAACATAAATATACATACATATACATATATATACATATATATAAACATACACATATATATACATATATACATATATATACACACATATATATATGAGTATATACATATATATACAAATACACAAATATATATACAAAGATATGTATGCATATATACACATGTATGTATACATATATGCACATATATATGCATACATATATGCACATATATATGCATATTTATATGAACATATATATGTATACATATATACACATATATATGTATACATATATGCACATATATATGTATACATATATGCACATATATATGTATACATATATGCACATATATATGTATACATATATGCACATATATATGTATACATATATGCACATATATATGTATACATATATGCACATATATATGCACATATATATGTATACATATATGCCACATATATATGTATACATATATATATATATGCATATATACACATATATATACACATATATGTATACATATATATGCATATATATATATGTATACATATATACACATATATATGCATATATATACATATATATGTATATTATATATACATATACACATATATGTATACATATATACACATATATACATATATACACATATATATACATATATACACATATATATGTATACATATACACACATATATGTATACATATATACACATATATACACACACATATATATGTATACATATACACACATATATATGTATACATATATACACATATATATGTATACATATATACACATATATGTATATATATACACATATATATGTATACATATATACACATATATATGTATACATATATACGCATATATATGTATACATATATACACATATATATGTATACATATATACACATATATATGTATATATACATATATACACATATATATGTATACATATATACACATATATGTATACATATATACACATATATATGTATACATATATACACATATATATGTATACATATATACACATATATATGTATACATATATACACATATATGTATACATATACACATATATATGTAACATATATACACATATATATGTATACATATATACACATATATATGTATACATATATACACATATATATGTATACATATATACATATATATGTATATATACATATACCATATATACACATATATATGTATCCATATACACACATATATATGTATCCATATATACACATATATATCCATATATACATATATATATGTATCCATATATACATATATATATGTATCCATATATACACATATATGTATCCATATATACACATATATATGTATACATATATACACATATACATGTATACATATGTATATATATATACACATTTATATGTATACATATATATATATACATATATACACATTTATATGTATACATATATACACACATATATGTATACATATATACACACATGTATGTATACATATATACACACATATATGTATCATATATACATACATATATGTATACATATATACACACATATGTATACATATATACACACATATATGTATACATATATACACAAATATGTATACATATATACACATATATATATGTATATACACATAGATATGTATATGTATATACACATATTATATGTATATACACATATATATGTATATATACACATATATATATATATGTATACATATATACATATATATGTATACATATATACACATATATGTATACATATATACACATATATGTATACATATATACACATATATGTATACATATATACACATATATGTAAACATATACACATATATGTATACATATATACACATATATGTATACATATATGCACATATATATGTATACATATATGCACATATATATGTATATATACACATATATAAGTATATATACACATATGTATATATACACATATATACATATATATACATACACATATATATTCATATACATATACTTATATACATACATAAATACACATATATACATTTACATATATAAATACATATATATATACATTTATGTACATATCTATATATATCTATACATATCTATCTCTCTATCTCTCTATCTTATTAAAAATATACATATCTATATATACATATATATGAACATATACATACATATACATATATAAATATAAACAAACTATAAATATGTATATACATATATATGCACATCTATATACTATAAATATGTAAATACATATATATACACGTTTATACTATACATATATATTTATATATACACATATAAACTATAAATATATATACATTTATATATACATATTTATACAATAAATATATATGTATCTATATATACACATATATACTATATATATACATACATTTATATATACCCATCCAAATATATACATATATGTTACATACAAATATTCTATACATCTATATATATTATACTTACATATGTGTATATACATTTA